ATTCTTATACGAGTGGACAATTTCGAAATACTTTGTTAATATTTAAATTATGTGATACTTTGTACATTAAAAAAAATACATATTTATACTATTAAATATTAAATATATTTTTATTATTTTAAAATATGATGAAAATAATTAACTTTCAACAGTAATATATCATAATTTACTTTCAATGAATATTTGAATATTGTAACTTCAACAGAGAAATTCATACGGAGGTATTTCGTCAAAATTAAATCTCAAATAGAATTTTCATTGAACTTTGAAGAATCCAACTGTTGACGACGAAAACAATTAATTCCAACAAAAGTTGTATATTTCGACATACTTTTCTGCAACAATGAATAGAATAACTATTGTTGAAACCATTATATACATAATTCTGATTATTTATTAGGTGGTCCTCCAACTGTGGATATTATCTCAGTATCTGAACACCGAAGGCGATTTTTTCAACCTCTCATTTTTAAAATGTATATAGTAAAATTTAAAATGCATGCATAAGTTACATTTCAATAGTGAGATATATACTAAATAATTTAGGTTATTGTTCGATAATAGGTTTTTTTTAAGAAAATAAAAATTAAATTATTTAAAAAATGACATTTTGCAATCCGTTCTTTTAAGACTATATTTATCTGTGACATAACTCATGGGTCACGGACATAAGGACAAAAAAAAAAAGTAAAAAAGGTCATGAAATGTAGCGACCTAAGGTCACAGTGTGACCTTGGGTCGCGACCTAGTTGGTGGATAGAAATAGAAAATTTGTTCAATTTTTATTGAATAAGTGTATTTTTTTGTGTTGAAAAAACTAATAAAAAATGCTAAAATTCGTATTTTTTCATGCTCTATAAATAAAGACCACATTTGATTGGCTTTAGAATATAATTGTAATTTTTAGATAAATAAAATTAAATAAATATTTTAGGTTGTGTTGAGTTGTGGATAAAGATAAAAAGTTGGGTTGTGTAGGTGGAGGGAAGAGAAATAATTTTTAATTATTGAATTGGGTTGTTGACTTGTTGAAGTTAATAAAATGTCTTCCAAAATCAGTTTTATATCTTTCAAATACTTTTGAAAAATTGCTATCATCAATTTTTGTGCATAGATATCCGGGACTGGTCCATCCCGCATCTGAAATCATTTGACCCATACTTTTATTAGGCTCATACGAGTTCAGACCCAAATTCATAAAGGAAATCCTAGCCTGCAAGTTCTGCATCGATCTCTTCTCAGCCCAAGTGCCGATCTGTCAGCTGACATCAGATGTTGACAAACGGGGGTTGACCGGTGCAGTCTCACGGACGAAGCGCACCAAATCAGGGAAGCTCAAATGAAGCCCAAGTGAAGTTCTATTCCAAAACCAATTGGTGGTAGGAGGAGTAGCCACTAGGCTTATAAGTTAGGCCTATTTTCCCTGTACAGATGATGTGGGACAACTCGCAAGTGTATATTCTAACATCCCCTCACTTGTGAGCTGGGTGACGGGTACGTCATTGCACGGTCCTACAAAGGCCCAAGCTCAACTGGTCTGGATGAGCCGGCTCTGATACCATGACAAACGGGGGTTAACGGGTGCGGTCCCATAGACGAAGCCCACCAAATCAGGGAAGCCCAAATGAAGCCCAAGTGAAGTTCCATCCCAAAACTAATTGGTGGTAAGAGGAGTAGCCCACTAGGCTTATAAGTTAGGCATATTTTCCCCGTCAGACGATGTGGGACAACTCGCAAGTATATATTCTAACATATGTTGATTTTTTTTATCACTGTGAACGAAAACAAATAAGTGATCGTCCAACCGATCCCTTTATCAAAAGTCAAAATTCGGCTCCATCATCGAAAGTTGATATTTGCATGGATAATCATTTCCCTTTAATTTTATTCACATATCAAAAGTCAATATTTGCACTTGTCAAACATCTATAGTCCCTTAAGGGCATCCGCAACGGTGTGTTAATTTGGCTCGTTTAAACGCCCTATTGCCGTTCATTGCATTGTGGCCATTCATTAAATGGTAGGCCCCCACTTGTCCGTTCAATTGAATGAACGGCACTTTTGTGCCTTGTTTTTTATTTTATTTTTTTCATTTATTTTTACTGCACTTTGAGTGTTTTTTTTTTTTTGTTCTCATTTAATTTTAATCATTTTTTTTCTTTTTATATATTTATATATTTTAATTCATTTTATTTTAAATGCACTTTAGGTGATTTTTTTTTGTTTTTCATTTAATTTTAATTCATTTTTTTCTTTTTATATATTTAATTATTTTTTTCTTTTGGTCTTGTAGTGTTTTTTTTTTATTTTCGTGCATTTAAAATTTATTATTATAATTTAAAAATATTAAATTTTTATTTTTATTGAGAATAGAATATTAAAATTTATATTGAATGAGTGGATAATGGGTCTCATATATGTATTTAAATGAATGTGTAGGGATGTGGGTGTGTGTTTAAATGGAAAAAGAATTAGTGAAAATATGATGTGGATGAGAGAGAGTGTAACTTTTTGATTGAATGAATGGAAAAAATGTTAAACCGCCCTAAAAAGCATTGTGGATGCTCTTAGGGCATCTGCATTGTGAAGATGGGTGGAGACGAACCCGACTTGAGGATGACGACGAGTAAGACTTAGAGTTTCTTCCATGTATCATTCCAGATTGTACGATCGTACTATCTTTTTATTTTAAATGATATAAATTGTGATTGAATTTCATTTTCTATTGTTATTTTGTGTTTCATTCTGATGCATGATTGACACGATAAGTTTCCAGTTTTTTTGTCCTTTAAATGATATGAATTAGGATGGAATTTCATTTTTTCATTTACTGTTATTTTTTATTCATTGTGATGCAGATTGACAGGAGTGAGCAAGAGAAACACGAACACGATACACACACAACACACATATCATAAT